TGTTATTATGCTATCTGAACATTCAGTATACACATGGATATATACATGTAGTTCTATGCAATATGTGTGCAAATCATACAATTATTTGAAAATTGCACAACGATATGTTTCTTCTTGCATATTGTGGTACAATGCAAATTCTATGAACGTATGTGCAAGTTTTTCTCATCATTAATGTTTCTTTCTTCAAAAATTTCCTCCTTTAGGGTAACACCTAAATCCTTAATTCATTCTACCTCAGAAAAATATTTTGTTTCCTAAAATATATTGCTTTCTTTGATGACAAGGAAAAAATGACTGACACAAAATTAAAAAACTGTTTATTTTCTCATATACACTAATGTTTTCTCCGCTATTTGTTGTGGATTAGTTGATATTTTGGCCGTTAGATTTTCTCCTATTTTTGTGCATGTTGTGGTGGTTTGATGTAGCAGTCATGTGTCCTTGCTTAAGTTTGCGATGAACTTAAAATATAATTCATTTCCTAATTTATATATTTAAATCATTAGTTGTATTGAAGTTCCAATAGTTTACACTTGGACAATACAAAGAGATATAGTCTAATTATTGAATATAAGAAAAGAGTGTAAATAATCTTTTATGATTTGTTCATTTTAGGCATAGTTGTATAATATTAACTTCCTTTTCTATTTTCTTGTTGCTTATTTTGGGGTTGAAACAATCTCCATAATATATATGTTTCTTCTAGCATAATGTTTACCAGTGGAAGTTCTATGAAACATGTGCGCAAGTTTTAGTCATCGTTTGTTTTAAGTTTTATTTCTTCATTTGCTTTTCATTAAGGCTAATAATGATGCCCTTAATTCATTCTACCTTAGAATAATATATGTTTTTGTTGTTAGTTTATGTTTTCATTAGTTTATTTATTTATTTACCAATAAGGAAAAAGTGTCCAACAAGAAAAAAATGGTTCTTTTTTTCTTGTTGTTGCTTAGTGAAACTTTGGTTGTCGGATTTTCTCCTATATTTGTCCATCGTGATTTATTTTGCACTCATGTGTCAATATTTAATATTATGTTAGGGACTTGAAATGAAACTCATTTCTACAATTGGTCTCTTTAAATAATAATTAGTACTGAAGTTCTACTAGTTTACAATTGTTTATTGCACAGTACGAAAAAACTGCAAGTTTTGTGTAATTTGCGTGCAAATTTTCAATATATTCAATTTGTGTGTATATGAGAAGAGTTTGACAACAAGTATTTATGATTTGTTAATTTCGTGTGTAATTAACTTGCATTTTCTAAATTTCATAGGGTGAAGCCGTCTCCATAATTCGATTTTCTTTAGTAAGGTATAGTTTCTTTTTTTTTTGTCTTTGTTCATTTCTATTGTTAGTAACATGACTTTGATCACTTTCTTTCTTAGAAAGAAACATGTTCCTCTTTGATTTTTGCTTTGTGCATTTCTTCTTTGAGGTACGATTTGGACATGTGTAGTTCAGATATAACCAGAGATATTACATGCAGACATAAATTAAATGTATTTTTTAGTAATTATAAATTATATTGTTTCATTGTGGAGAACAAGAAGACGACTATATTTTTTTCTGGTGCAAGACTAAAGAATATGGAGATTTGTACACATCATGAGTCAATATGCGTAATTACCAGTCATGTTTAAAAATTCTTTCCAATCAAGATGCAGCAGCACAATCGTGCATTCCAAGATATGATGAGATTACGCTCGTACATGTTGCAGCATCAGCAGAAATGCAAAACTTGCATGCATCCACATCCCGGAAAGAAAACTTGCATTGCATGCAACTACGTGCATGTACAGTGTGTCTTTTTTCGTAACACAGTACAGACGCAAGCGCTCATACACTCACCCCTATGAACATATACACGCACACCCTACCTCTATGAACGCTTCCGAGAGACTGAGCCGGCATATCATCTTGAGATTTACGAAGTCACCGTAGGCGCCTCGTTCTCGACAGGAACATCTCTTCCCACTGAAAGTGCATCGCCGGGATACCACTATCCCTCTAACCATCCAACCACAGGTTGGTTCGTTGTATGATGGGTCAATGCCAACAAGAAACGGACCTGTCATGAAGCTTTTGTTCGACTCGAGAGGCAGCGTGCACCGTGCAGACTCACCCCTGGGAAGCACGTCACTTTCTCCGTTGGATATTAATCTAAGGGTTTAGAAAAAAGTAACTGAAACATAAATAAAATTCAGGCACCTGACATATGAGCAATGTACGTAGTAGTGTATGTTTGCCTCATCGCCCACGTATGTTTTGATTGAGACGCACTGCGGTTCAGGCGCCCTCGTATATATCAACCGATGTAGATGAGGGCAAGAGCTGGCAACTTGCATCTCGTCCTGCCCCCGCCACCAGTAGAGTGCAAAAAGGCAAAGACAAGGGACTGATAGCACCAGGCCGTCCCATTGGCATCTACTCCTAAGCTTGACTGATACCACCAATCAGGCAATCAGTGAAGAGGATAACAGCGGTAGAAAATCGGTGCTCTGGCAGTTACAGGTAGCATAAAATACGTTCGGTAGTACCAATGCCATGGACATATATGTAGCCAGGTATCACGCAACGAGGGTGTCCTCTGTCCTGTGTGACACACACGCGCTGACGCGCACAGCAATACGGCCGGCGTGGAAGAGAGATCCATGGAGATGGTCAGTGTCGTGGAGGAGTACGCGCTCACGCTGGTGGCCATGGCCGTCGGCTTCCTGGTGGTGGCATATCTCTACGAGCCCTACTGGAGAGTCCGGCATGTGCCAGGACCCGTGCTGCTGCCACTCATCGGCCACGTCCACCTGCTCGCCGAGCACGGCCCCGACGTTTTCTCCATGCTCGCCAAGAAGCATGGCCCGGTCTTCAGGTGACCCACGTATTATTGCAATTACTATTAAGTAAAAATATAGTACCAGTGGTTTTGATTGGGTTCATATGCAGGTTCCACATGGGAAGGCAGCCGCTCATCGTGGTGGCAGATGCCGAGCTCTGCAAGGAAGCAGGCATCAAGAAGTTCAAGAGCATTTCTAACCGGAGCATGCCTTCGGCCATTGCAAACTCCCCCATACATCAGAAAGGCCTCTTCTTCTCCAGGTAACTAACTATGGGTAATCTGACTTCCTTTCCTCGCGTTCCACGTGATCTTGTAAAATTGGACCTTTCTGAAGAAACAAAAAATATTCAGGTGAAGAGCCTTTGCGGTCAAAGAAAAAAAAGATAAACAAACCGCAGCATTCATCTTCATGTCTATTTTATTGTTGTTGTTATTGTTTTTATCATCATCGTCATCATCATTATTGTTATTATTCTAATATGCTAGGTCCTGATTATAGTGCCCAAGAATTCATAGGTTATTATATAAAACCAATATCACCCGCAAAAAAATATAAAACCAATATCGATAATCAGAGCTGAAGGTAGCCGGAAGTCACAGCTAACATAAGTGCTGATGTCAGCAAATCAGCACAATTCAGACTGCATGAGTTTTTCTCTTCACTCTAGACCAGGGTAACCATACATAAATTGATGAATTCATCAGAAGGTTTGATATAAGTTAGAGTCAATCAGTATTTATAATATGATCAATTTTATCAAAACTAAAAGGGAAAATTACATTTCTAACATAATAATTCTTACGAAATTACAAGGTTGGGGAAACACGATGAGACGTCAACAAGCATACCCAACTCCACCTCGCCATCGGGCTTACTCAAACCAACAGTAAATCAATTATAAATTCTAGTAAGAGAGAAAACTAGTCAATTAGTTTAAAGACGTGTCAAAGTTAAACATATTTAGTAAATAAATGCTAAAAATTAAGATAAATGCAAAGTTAGGACAAACATGTGAGACGCCAACGAGGGTGGCCAACTAATTAATTAGATAATATTATGTTATATTATTGAACAAGAGAAAAAAAGTTTAAATTATGTCCTTCACTTCATTAACTAATTATATGGTGGATCCTAATTATAGTGATTGAGATTATAGATACAAATATGTACATATGTAAATATCCATGTCTGGTATGATGCAGTGACAATGGACTAGATAGAGACAATTGGATCTAAAACCGTCTCCAATACATGGCTGGTATCACCATTTACATCGGCATGTAAACATAATAAGTTATTGGGTTTGTTCTTGCATAGATACTCAAAAGTTTGAATAGCTAAACTTTGACCGTTTCAATCAGTCGCATGTAGCGATGATTCCAAGTTTGTTCATTCATGAATCTGTTCGCAAATTTAATATGCTATGTGATTCTTTCAATTGTTTGGCGAACAATGTAAATACCCAATAGACTCAACTCCTTCTAAAACATACATATATTATAAGATTTAGTCACACTGCATTAAAAGAAGCTCTGTGTCAACATGGTAGACTGTGTTGGCTCTTATGT